CACCACTGCTACTGGTTGCCTGTGTGACCTTGTTCAAGTCTTTCCCTCTTTCTGGGACTCAGTTGACTCATCTGTAAGATGAGGGGGTTGACTTCTGAGGTCCCATCCAGCTCTGCCTATGATTCCAAACCCCCAGATTTATTAGAGGATAGAGCTGAGTTGTGGGGACGATGAATCATCCTTATTTACAGTCCCACTTACAGAGAGAATATCAAGAAACACTTCAAACCAGCTTTTCCACATATATACGTGCCCATCCATATGTACACGTATGTATTTATCAGTTTTAAATTGATGCTGTCTATATTTATACACAGATCTGTTTGTTGTCTCCTCCACTAGAAGAAAAATTCCTTTCAAGGAGATATTCCTTCATTCTTTGTTATGTATATTCCCAGTGTTTAGCATGATGCATGGCACATAGTAGGTGTTTCATAACTATTTGCTGATTGACTAATAGGTAAATGACAGTATTGCACCTTTTAAAATCCCAAGGGGCTAAAGGATTTTCTTGGAAAACTGGGTGACAAGCATTATCTCCTTCTAGCCTTGAACAGTCAGACTTCCTATTGAGGACAAAACGCCCAAACAATCTTAACAGACTCAGCCTTTCTCAGGGTTATCTGAGGAACTCCCCTAAGCCCTCTACTCTTTCCAAAGTGCAGCGGGTAAGCCCAACTTTTAAGCTGCTCCCAGGGTTCACTCTTCCAGACCCCAGCTGCCATGTTTTCTTCCCATCTTTTGTGACCTTTCCCAGGTTCACAGACTGGCATAAGAGTGTAACCATGGTAACAACAACATCTCCAATGCTAAATAAGGAATCTCAGAGAAAAATAGCTGTTCGTCTGCCTCTTAGATAGGCCTGGAGATTCTATGGGATATTATGGAAGAGAGATGTATAGGAGGCATGCAGAGCAGGGTTGTCCTCAACGTTCCTTTCAGCAAATAGGGCTCTAGGAGGACAAAATGAGGGGCAGCCTCTCCCCCTCTCCTCACATCACACAGAAGGAAGGAATAACTAGTGGATGACCGGCCCACATTCTGAGGATTGTGTCTCGTCCTGGTGGCATACTTTAAGGGTGACATTGACAAGGTACAATGGAAAGAGAACTGGTGCAAACCTGAGCTCCAATCTTGCCTCTGATGCTAACTCAGTGTGACCTTGGACAAGTCATTCTCCTTCTCTGAGGCTCAGTTTCCTTTTCTGTAAAGTAAAGATGGCCTCGGAGGTCCCCTCCACTTCTAGATCCTTCTATGATACATCCTTCTATGTATCCTTTAAGATACAAAGCTTCCGGAGCATGGTGACCAGTAAGAGGAAGATTGTCATACATATGATGGGAGGATTTGAGTTTATTTGGTCTGAAGAGGAAGCCTGCCAGATGTCTTTCAATATCAGGGGGGCTGTGGTAGAGTAGAGGGTTTAGGCTGGCTGGCCAGTCTGCTTGGCCCTACAGGGGCAAAACACCACCAACGGGTAGAAGTTATAGAGAGGCAGTCCTGAGTTCAGTTTAAGGAAAAACCCCTCAACAATGAGAACTTCCCCAAATCAAACTGACTTCCTTGGGAGTAAATGAGCTCCCCATCACTGGCAGAGTCCAAGCAGAGGCTGAATGACCACTGGCTGGAGAGTGGGTCAGAGGAGATCCCTCTGTCCTTCTTATCCAGGCCTGCTTATTCTAGCCCCATAGTCCTGACAGAACAAATGAAAGCATCTGTCATTACTTCAGTTCGTGGGTTGAGGTCCCAGATCAGATAGGCCGATCTTGTTTATGGTAGGGTAATCTTTTTGAAAACTTACAGGAGACCATGTGATTTAGTGGGAAGATTATTGTCTCTGAAGTCAGGGCATCTGGGTTCACATTCCATCTCTGACACATACAACCTGTGTGACCTTGGACAAATCACTTCACCTTCCTCAGCTTTGGTTTCATTATCTGTGAAATGAGGGGATTTTACTAGATGGCCTCTGAGTTGTCTGCTGGTTTTAGATCTATGCTCCTAGAACATATCTGGTATCCAAAAATTGGATACCATTAGCTTCCTGGGAAGATACAGCATGAAATCACTGCTGATTTCACAGCTCAGCTCAAGCACACCTTCAAAATGAGGTCCCTTTTACACAAAGCCTTTCTTGACCCCCTCCTCCAGATGCTTGTGTCTTACCCACACATTATGGCATATGTATTTTCTATTTATTTATTTAGGTACCCTGTCTCCCCTGACAGATTGGACTATGTGAGCTTATGCCTGGGTCCCTGACTGCTTTTCCCTTTTGAACATCATTTGTTACATAGACAAGTCTACGTTTAGATACAACATTGTGAGTTGGAGAGGTCTGGAGGTCCTAGGTCCATTTAGTGGAGCTTACTGAAGGTAAACGGAAACTTCATTATCACAGAAAGTGACAATGAGCAGGAAGATGACCAAGAGCTGTTTGGACAGTGCAGAAGCTAGGTGAAATGTGGTCGTGACTATTTGGTGGTCCCACAAACTGCTTCATGTTGTGATAAGGTTTCAAAGTATCAGCCTCCCAGGAAAGTTTAACTGTAGTTAAAAATTGTTATTGAATCCTATTTTAAGTCTTTCTGTCAATGCATGCTATGAGTCTTTTGTGTATAGGGAATAAATACCTGTCCCATATCTGGTTTACATGGTACATTGCATACATTTTTATTCTTCCATTTTGACTAGACCTACACATGAGCCAACATCTAAGCTTTAAATAATTTGTCCTCGGGGTGGCAGGGTTCGGGGGGGGGGGTGGTTAATGAACTAAAGAGTGAATGCAAAGCCTCTCTTTAGAGTCCAGGCTCCTCCATGACTGAATGAACAATTTGCATGGGTCTCAGCAGATGAGCCCCTTAGGAAGAGGAAGTGGGCACAGTGCCCTAGCTCCTTGGGCCCTTCAGTGGGTTCTCATTTTTTTCATTTATCAGATTCCTACTATATGCTAGACACTAGTGATACAGGTACAAAAAAGCAAGGCACTTCCTGCTTTTAAGGGGCTTACTTTACTTTCTAGACTTTACTAGACAATCCTCTAATCTTGGCCTGGAAGAGTTTCTTAGATCTAAGACCGAAAAAATTATTTCCCCCTTAGTCATTGTTAAGGCAAGAAATTTCTTGAGCCCATTTACAAGTTTGTAATCTTCAGGAGAGAATGACTTAGTTTCACACTTTCCCTTTTCTTACCCGCACAGGCTGTTACTGGCAAGTATAGATATTCAAATCCTCATAGTATTTTGCAATATGTCCCTTGCTCATCCACAACCCCCTTTCCCCTGCCCACCTTGGCCTAGGAGCCATTTTTCTAGCTCGTCCATTTCTGGCTGCAAACTGAATCCAAGTTAAAGGATTCTGAAGATGAATTTAAAAATTAATTCGAGCCCAGCTTGGACAGGACAAGAGAGCTAATGGAGACGGGACATAAATAGCTAGTGAGCCAGCAAAATCTGGAGAATCTGTGCTCATCCCGGAAGCCCGAACTTCATTTTCAGTGGTCAGAGGCCAGGGTCATGCTGTTCTAGGGGCCTAAATTCAGATTTGTTTTTGGATGGGTAGGAGGAGTATGAGATCATCACTGTGGGGAACTTCCACCATGAAAACTCCTTTCCCTGATATAGATCAGCAGGTCGCTTGCAAGACAGAATCTGATTTAGAGCTGGAAGGGAACTCAGAGATCATCTATTCCATCAGACAAGAAAGCTGAGGCCCAAAAAGGTAACGCTACTTGCCCACGGTCACTCATAGGTAGTGTCAACAGCAGAATTTGAACTCAGGTCACCCGACTCCTTCTTACGAATACTTTTCCTTGCCCTGTTTTACTGGAAAGTTGCCCTCATCACTGACAGGTTAGGACCATAGGATGATAGGGTTAGAGATCTAGAGAAGGAAAGAAACTCAGAGACCATCCACTCTAATTCTCTCCTTTTATAGATGAGGGCGCTGCGCTCTGGAGAGAAGAGTCACTTGTCCAAGGCCACGGGTGCTAAGTTATCAGAGGTGGTAAATGACTTGGCTATGTTCACACAGCTAGAATATGAACTCAGAATCTTCCTAGCTCTAAGATTGCCTGTAGCACTGTGTCACACTATCTATTCAGTTCATCCAGGTTTAATTGGGGTTCTTGCGACCTTGGGTGAGCAACTTGAATCTGCATTGGAGAGAGAGATGAGACACTATGAAACATGGACGGAAGGATCTTGACAGAAGAACTAGGGGAAAACCCTTTCAGTGGGTGGAAACCTGCAACAGTTACAGCTCTCTGCCGGCCACAAGTCGAGGAAGTAGGGCTTCTTTGATGTGCTAGTTGGATGGATACTTTTTTGCCCCAGTGTCCCAATTTTTTTGGGAGTGCCAAGGACAGATCGGAGGTGCACTGGGGCCATTCCATCCTTCTCTCCTCAACTCTGCCTATTGGGTGACCCACTTTCTCTCTATTGCTGCCCCCTGCTGGACAGGAGAAGAGGCGGTCAATGGCACCTCTTTCCCTCTCCATACCTCAGGAACCCTACTTCTTTGAAAGAGCCTCAGATTAAGAGAAAACACAATGGAGGGAGCCTAAGAGGAGCCCAAGAGAAGCCCACATTCCAGAGAAGCCTTAAGTTCTCTCTCTAAGGAGGCAGATTGAGGCAGAGGCACCAACCCTAGGGAAATAACAAAACCAAGAAAGGCTGATCGAGAACAGAACCGACTTCCAAGCAATGACAGCTCCCCTTTCCCCATTCTAGCTCCCTAATCTTTCACTCAGCACATTGCCCAGTGGGCCAAAAAAAATCCCACCCAGCCAGGCCAAGATGTATTCCTGACAATTTTCCTTTCCTTTCTTCTTAGAAATGAAAATCTTCCTTCTTGCAGCCACAAATGAATGACCCCATCCTGACCCAGCCAAGAATATTTCCAAGAGAGCAGTTGGAAAAGTAATGTATCAGGATAGGGATGGAGGTAAGAGTAGGGTAGAGAAGGGAGCAGAGGAGGGGAAAGGGCATGGGCTTTACCTGCTCGTGAATTTTTCAGGGTATTTCTCTCTCATGAGGTGGAATTTGTGGGCAATGGAGGCATCCTGAAAGGAAAAGAAGCAGAGGCAGATACCTGGTTAGTATGTAGTGTCTGGAGCTGCCAAGTAGCAAATGGGACTTTGGACAGTGAAGGGGAAACAACTGTGGCTTTCTGAGTGTGCTTGTCTGTGAGTGGAGTGTCTTGGGGGCCCAAAGGCTTTTGTACTGGGGCGTATCTGACTATATCCACACAAACAGAGGAAGCAGTGCATAGGTGACCCTCTTCACTGACAACATTAAAGCCCTCTGCATTGCTTTGGTTACAGTTTATGATTCTTTATCATTCTCCTTTATCTGTAATTTATCTTTCTAATTCTATTGGCTTCAGTCAACAAGGAACTTAGTCTACATTCCTCGAGCACACAGGAGACCGCAAATGTATTTCATTTTACGGAAGAAACACATTTCTCAAAACTTATACATAAAGTGAATTTTTGTTAAGTTGTTTGTCAAGTTGCATTTTCTACTGGTCTTCCTTTATGTAAGTGGAAATAGGTTTCTGTGGAAAAAATACTGGCCCCATGCCTAGGTCAGATTAGAATACATTAAGGAATATACTGAAGAATACAGTAAAATATAGATCGTGTTGAAAGATACAAAAGTAAACTTTTGATTATATGTGAGTAATAGCTGAAACAAGGTAGCCGTGGTATAGTGTGGATAGGGTGCTGTACTTAGTCTGGGAGATCTGGGTTCAAATCCACCTTCTTACATTTATTAGCTGTGTGACCTTGGGCAAGTCACTTAACCCCAATTGCTTCAAAAAAAAAAAAGAAAAGAAAGAAAGCTTTTGGCACAGTGTCTGGCACATAGTAGGTGCTATATTCCCTCCCTCTCCACTGGACCTAGTACCCTTCACACTGGATCTGAGGCTGACACCTCCATATCAGGTTCTTCCTGAATCTCACCATCCACCTACCTTTCTTTCCATCCACTTCCACCTCCCACAGAACAAAATGCCCTTCTCTGAGCAGGTCTCTCCCTACATGCTTCCTGCCCCCATTATAATATAAGTTCTTTGAGGGCAGGGACTGTCTTAGTTGCCAGTACTTGTATCCTTAGTGCTTAGCAAATAGTATAAACACTTAAGGCTTTAAAATTCATTCAGATCCCTACATCTGCCTGGGCCTCAGTTTCCTTCTCTGTAAATGAAGAGGGCTAGACTTGCTGGTCTCTGAGCTTCCTTCCAGTTCTAGGGCTATGATCAGATAACTCAAAATGTTGTCATGTTGAGTGAGGGCAAGGCCAGGAAAGGAGCCTCTGGACTGCATTCCTCCAACAGCGATGAATGAGGGAGCTGTGGATATTCAAGTTGCTGGGCTCCAGAAAGAGGCCAGGGGAAAGGCTAATATGAGCTGACTGCATATCTGTTCTTATAGAGAACGATAGAGCTGGAAGGACCTCCAATGCCACCAAATCCCAGCCATTTCTGACCGAGAATCCCCTCCCCAGCATCCCTAGCTGGTGTCCTACTACCTCCTACTACCTCCCGAGGCAGCCCCTTCCCATTGGACAGCTCCAAGCATGGGCAAGTTTTCTCCCAAGCAGCAGCTCCTTTGTAATTCTCTTCTCCCAACCTCCCATCCCCATCTTGTTGGGTCTAGCTTTGCCCTTTGGGAAAAACAAAACAAGTCCAATGCCTCTTTTCAGGTGACTGCCCTGTAAAACCTTCCCTCAATCAGCAGGCATTTATTAAGCATTTACTCTGTGCCAGGCACTGCCCTGGGCTTTGGGGATAAAAAGACAGACATGAAATGGTCCATCCCTTTAAGAAACATGCCCCCCATGTCTCTTCAATTCCAGGCTTGGTATCCTTGGTTCCTTCAGCTCATCTTCCAGTGATATTGTCTCTAAAGTCCTCATCATCTTAATAATCCTTCTTTGGGGTGGTGGGGTGGTGTTCTAACTTCTTAAAACATGGCACCCAGAACTGAACACAGTACTCCCCAGATGTGACCTGACTGAGGCAGGGTACAAAGGGACTCTTACTTCTCTTGTTCTGGTCACTATGCCTCCCTCAATGCAATCTGTAATTGATCACATTAGTGCCCTTTTTTTTTTTTTGGCAGCCATACTGGCTTAGATTGAGCTTGTGGTCCACTAAAACCCCTAGATTTCCACCCCCTCCCCCGTTACAAGAACTATTATCTGGCCACACCTTTTCCTCACCTCCAAATCTGGTATTCTGAAGTTTTTTGAACCAGACTATAGGGTTTATATTTATCTCTTTTAAATTTATCTTACTCGATTTTCATGTCATCATAGTAAGCTGTCAAGATGGTTTTTTTTATTCTAATTCTACCACACAACATGTTAGTCTCTCTCCTCAGCGTTGGCCTATCCACAGATTTGATGAGTATGCTAGTCTAAGCCAATTAAACAAGCATTTATGAAGTCCCTGTTCCACATGAGGCACAGTGCCGGGTGCTGGACATACACAGTCAGAGGAAAAACAAGACTGTCCTCAAATGCTACTCTCTATATGAAACCTTTGGACCTCTGTGGGGCTGACTGTCTCCTAACCTTGAGTTTTCTGTGTATCTATTTGTATTTGCTTATTTGGTCTCCCCCTGATACAATGTAAGCTCCTTCATCTTTTGACTATTTCAATTTTTGTCTTTATATCTCTAGAACTGGACACATAGTATGTGCTGATTGATTATGCCTGTCCTCAAGGAGTTTACATTCTACTGGGGGAAGAGTACAACCTATAAATGCTTAAATGTATACATGATTTAAAGAGGGAGATACTTTACTTGGACAGTCTTTAAGTCTACATTTCCCTTTAGTCAGTGAAATACTTTTGTAATCAACAACCAGCACATAGTGGGATCTTATATTCTCCATACTTTTCAATTGACTGTGTGACTAGGAAGATATGACCTTTTATAGAAAATTATATTCAAGAGCTTGAGCATTCCCTTCTTATATTTTCATCAAGGAGATCTCCACTGGAGTCATAGACCATTTCTATCTAGATTTCACAGAGAAGAGGAAGTAGGTGTAGCAAGTATCTTCTTGGTCACTTTTTTTTCCTCAATAATTGTACTGTTTCTGTGATCTTTTCTATTTTTCAGAATAGAGTATTTTTCACCTAGAGATACTTTGAAAATTGGTTCCTTTAAAACGTTGTTGCCACTTGGATGGACTTTTGGGCATGTCTAGCTCCTCTTCCTGCTTTCCTTTTCTTAAGCACCATTTTTGCTTGTTCACATAGCACATTGGAGTGGTCAAGTCTAAGTACAGTAGTTTCACCCACATCAGGGAAGAGATTGGCATACAAATACTGGCAGTTCTTTTCCATCTTAGGTATATTGTCGCCCTCGTTCCTGTTTTAGCTACAAATTCCCTTAGAATGATTGGTTAAGTAGGTTTCGTGCCAAGTTCTCTTTAGACTGAATTTCTTTTCTTCTGCTTTTCACTGCTTTGGGAGGCAATAATGCTCATTATCTTCTAATCACGTCTTCCATAATATTTTGCAAACTAGCTCATATTCTAAATCAGGGTTGCCCTTGGCTACTCTGTCTCTCTACTTGGCAAAGAAGTGAAAGGTTTTATGTTGGAGGTAGTTTGTAGAAGCTATTCTATCTCTTGGTTGTGGTGACTAGTGTGCAGTGGGCAAGCTTCAGGAGGACATAGTGATGGATGTGATGGCTTTTCTTTTGTCCATTTCCCATTTTTCTGAATTGGCAGCTTTTTTGAATGAGTCAGGTTGAAACTGCTGTAATCACCCATAGTGGCTTCATCTCTATTATGTCTTTTTTTTTTCCAATGTGGTTTTTATTTTGAGCTGTGTTCTAACTAATCAATGGCCTGACTGCCCATGAACTACTGATGTTAAAATGACTTTTAAAGCAGTAACTAGTGCTTATTAAGATAAAGGTTTCACTTAGGGGCATTGTTTTTAATGTATGTGCACATATTCTTACTACATCCAGTGCCTTCAAACTCTCTTATTGATTATAAGATCACAAATCTGGAACTGGAAGGAATCTTAGAGGCCTTTTAGTTCACCCTCTTCATTTTACAGATGAGGAAACTGAGGTTCAGGGAGATAAAGTGAGTTGCCCAGGATTAACAACTAATAAGTATCAAAGGTGGAATTTGAACTCAAGTCTTCTTGACTTCAGGTTGGGTACTCTGTCCACTATACCATGCTGCCTCTCTAAATGAGCCTTTGACCTATTCATTTAACTATCTTGAGTCATCTCTTCCAACAGTTTTTTCAATGCCCTCCCATGCCCACCTCTGCACTGAAGGTACTGAGTGCCAAGGTGAATGTTGACTCAATTTGGAGAGGTCCACAAAGTTCTTCATAGGATGGTCTCTACTTCTTTATCTTCTGCAAGAGAAACTGGAGCAGAAGTTTCAGTAGACGTGGAATCAGGAAGACCTGGGCATGAACCCCACCCCAGACTCGAATGAGCTCTGTGACCCGAACTGAGTCATTTAAACTCTCTAAAATGAAGGGTTGACAGCATGGCCTCTGAGTTCCCATTTAGCTCTGTGTCTATGAACCTATGAAGTTGCTTAACCTCCCTGAGCTTGGGTTTTCTCATCTATAAAATGAGGGGGTTGGACTTGATGTCTTTTAAGGTCCCTTCCTAAATCTATGATCTTATGGACTGTTTTCACAGTGATCATCTATTGATGCAAGGCAAGATGGACAAGGGTCCCTTGAAATTATGTTTCTTGGTTACTTTTGAATACAAGACAAAATGAACTTCCATGGTCACCTTGATGAGGAAAAATGTACGGGATTCCCTCTGCTGTGACTTCACTGTATCTTGTTTTCATATATAGCAAGAATGCCAATATGGCTATGAGTCATTTCCTCCAGTAGTATATCCACTTATTGATTGTTGGGCAAAGAGTGTGAACATTTAGAGTGTGAACAATTAAATTAAGGCTTGTCGATGTTCTAGAAACTGGATGATTCTTTTCACCCTATACCCTCTATTTTATGGGTAGGTTGCCATCATTGCAAAAGGGGGAAATGCCTTCA